GTATATTTACATCATTATATATTTCTTACCCCACCCCCACATGATCCTATATCCATCACCAATCGTATACACATCGAATTGTGCTAATTTACTACAAAGTTACGCAAAGCAGCATCTACTATCTAAAATATGTACTGCGGACTCTTAATACGTCCCTGCCGAATGTTACAGCGTTCGATGATCACGTGGTCTTGTTTATGTCCGGTCTATCTCTTATCTGAATATACTGTAGAAGTGTTACACCCAGAAAAAATAATTTCTTCAACTTGATTTTTTGGCAATGACGTAGTCTTACATCAGGAAAGAAACGATAACTTTCTCATGAAATTTTATTGACAAGTAATAATATAGTGTATAGTCTCCTCCTCATCATATCCCACACATGTTCGATGGGACTTAAATCCGGTGAACGGTGGCCACCACAAAACATTAACGCCTGCTTCATGAAGAAAGTCGGTAGTACGAAAAGCAATATGGGGACGTGCATTGGTTTGTTAGAAAAGGACGTATGGGTGGCCCTCTAGTTACGGCTGTAATGTGGTTTGTAGGACATCACCAACATAATGCGCAGCAGACATATTGCTTTGAACACAGCAAGCAGATCGACTGCCATAGGCAATAGCCCTCTAAACCATTACTCAAACAGTCCTGTTTACATGCTTCTCAACAGCAAATTCAATATGACGCCGTTCTCTTCGGCAGCGTCCTACTCTTTTACGACCTTCGTGCATACCTAGACAGAATCGCGATTCGTCGCTGATGATGATATTACGGCATTCTGCCTCCCAATGTTACCGTCCTCTGCCTCAGTTCAAACGTTGACTACAGTGGTCCGCAGTCAGAAGAAGCACCAATCGTGGACGGTATGAAAAAAGACCAAAGGCTCGAATGCAGCGGTAGAGTGTGCGCATAGTAACAGGTCTACTTTATTCTCCAATCCACTGGTCAGCGATCTGACTCGTAGTAGCAATACGGTCTCGTAGGGCTAGTTGAAGCGCCTATCTTTACGCTCTGTGGTACGCCTCGGTGGACCAGCTGGCTTTCGTCGTGTTCCTCTACCTTCTTCTATCCACACGCGACACACGCGCATTACCGTCATTGCAGTACAATTAACACGGCGACTAGTACATGAAAGGGCAATAACTAAAAATATCTGTTCTACTCAGCTTTCAGAAACTGCTTTCTTCACAAAAACTCAGAGATAACATTTTAAGAAAGGTAAACAAAATCAAAGATAAAATGTTGACATTGTAGCCACAGCATGCTTTAAATATAGTCCTTATGCTGCCAAAAAAAAAACACAAATTGAAGAAATTATTTTTTTCTGGGTGTAACATTTCAGAAGCAATGCAAGTTGGATATCCTCTTAGAAATGATCTGATGGGCGAATCTTCCGTCTTTAACAAATTCAGCTGCTTCCGTTATTTTGGCCCGTAGCTCAGCCAAATTTTCTAATGGCTTTGGGTAAGCTTTTTTCACCGCTCCTCAGTAAAAAAAATCGAGTGGATTTAAGTCAGGTGAACGGGCTCGCCACGAAATTGTATAAGACTGCCCTATCCATCTGCTGTATTCCGTATCAATATATTCTCTAACTGAACGGGCATAGTGCGCTGGTCAGCCATCTTGCAGGTACAATATGTCTATAGTCAACGCCAAACAAAGTGGCGTGCACGTCATCACGATAAAAATTCCCCGACCTAATGCCTAGGTTTCTATCACAAACAATTGCTCTATTGCAGTTTCATATTAATGTGATATATAAATTGTAAAATGGTCATTACTCTCTTATTATGGTTAATAGTCATATAAACATTGTTATTAAAATATCACATAAGTTGCTTTCTGATAAATTTAGACGCATTATGCGAAACAAAATGTTTTGTCCAATCACTTATCGACATGTAAACGCACTAAACCGATTTCGCAGCGTTGACACATTGTCACCTTGAAACTTATTTAAACGGGAACTGACATTTGTATTAATTTTGACACTGAATCAATTTGTGGCATTTCAAATCTTTATAAATCCTTTGGCCCCGCATACTGTAAATCAACAACTGTTTGTTTCAAAACAAAATTATTCATTTTACGAGTAGATAAAGGCAATTTTGGTATATAAAGATGCCCAAACAGTTAAATAGTCGGTGTAAGGAACTCGTGGCCTCGTTAATGCACTACTTTGAGCAAGAAAGGGACAACAACGGGCCTTTGTTGCCTTTAAATGCTGTTCAAGAGGTAGGTTACTAATAATTATATGTAATGTATATTAATAATAGTGAAATTTTATTTCATTTTTTGTAGCGTGTTGCTGCTGCTTTAAAAATTAGTTTAAGGACAGTTAGTCGTATTTCCGAGGGTGTGAAAAGTGATGCAAATTTAGAATCGCCCAAGAAAAAGCGGAGTTATATTAAACGTGTAACCAACACAGCGACATTGGATACAAGTGCCATTCGAGAAGTGATCTATAATATGTATCACAAAAGTAAGATCTTATTATAATAACTTATCAGAAATTTGCATTAATTTGTTAACTAAATTATAATGTCATATTACACATGGTTTCAGAAGAACAAGTTACGATACAAACTTTATGGTCTCGATTAAGAGATAGGGCATTATTTGATGGTAGTGCCACGTCTTTAAGGCGGTTGCTTAGAGATCTTGGATTTAAGTGGCTTAAGGACAATCCGCGACGAGGGCTCATGGAACTACCAAGTATAGCTTTGAAAAGGGTGGAATTTCTAAGGCAATACAATCAAGCCAAGGTTGAGGCCTTATACCAGTTTGTCTTCCTCGATGAAACTTGGATATTTCAAAATGGGACCATAGGTCGCTCTTGGCAAAATGGAAACCAAAAAAGCGTGAAAGCTATTAAAACAGATGGTAAAAGGTATGTACTTTTACACAATTTGCACTATAAAATTTAAAACTAATAATTTTAGATACATTATATTACATGCTGGAAATGAAAATGGGTTTATTGAGGGTAGTGAAGCGATATTTTCTTCGAAAACAAAATTGAGCGATTACCATGGAGAGATGAACCAGGACAATTTTTTGAAATGGTTTCAACATCAGTTATTAGAAAAATTGGAGAGTCCATCTATGATTATACTGGATAACGCCCCTTATCACAGCATGATATTGAACAAAGTGCCAACAATGCATGGACAAAAAAAAATATCCAAGACTGGTTGACAAATCAAAACATACCATTTTTAAACACAATGTTTAAAACAGAGCTATTGAGTATTGTTGCTCGGTACATAATGCTTCTTAATTATAATATTTTGGTCGACAGTTTATATTTCTTTTGTTTATTCCTATTCTTAAAATAACTGCTTTTTTAGAAACAAACCACCTAAAATATACGTGATTGATGAATTGCGGAACAACATGGGCACAAAGTTCTTCGTCTGCCTCCTTACCATTGTATATTTAACCCTATTGAGTTAATTTGGGGCATAGCAAAAGGTTACTATAACAGACATATTGGTAGAGATGGTAACAGTGAAAAAGACTGTTTGGATATGTGGAACGAGGCTCTACAAACGGTTACCCCAGACATGTGGAAAAATAGTGTTCGACATACTGAGCAAGAAATTTTTAAATGGTATGAAAGAGAACGAATTTTTGATCGACCAGACATCGAACCTTTAATAATCAACTTTGAGAGTGATGAAGATTCAGATTCAGACAGCGCTGAAGAAAGAAACTCCGACTAACTTTATTGTACAGAAAAAGCTTACACCAGTAGCTTACCTAATTTTAGAATGCATTTTTCTGTACGAATTCTGTAAAATAAATACCATGCATAAAATTTGGAGGACCCCATTTGGATTTTTATTCAGTACCTTTAAGCTATCAATTAAATATGGTAGTTTCATAGTGTCATCTGATCAATAATTGTCATACTTAATGATTATGCAAGTACAGATCTATAATTTTATTATACTATTATTTTTGTTCTCATTTGAGGTTAATATTGCTTATAAACCTAGATATGTAAATAATAAATTTCATTATTTTACAAAAAGTTTGGCAACAATGTAAATTTTTCAACACACACCTTGATGACGTGCACGCCACTTTGTTTGGCGTTGACTATATGTAAATGATTAGTGGCACGTCTTCCAATAAATTTGGTAATACGATAATTCTCCATTTTAGAAATTCCGTCCACATGTTTAGTTTAAAACGATACTGTGATCTATCTTTTCTCGTCAAATGTGGATTTTCGTCCCTCTGAGAGTAAACGGTTCTCAAAAACTCGGATATCGGGATGACGAGCAGCATTTGGGTCCCTCTCACGATAAAGCCTAGTTGCAGCACTAGCATTGCATCTACATTCCCCATAAAGTGGTGCATGTTGGCGTATCCCTGTACGGTGTACACAGTCATGGTGGCACTACACAATCATGGATTAATAAAAGTGGCATGACTATGTGTCTTGCTGTCACTACGTTGAATGGACAAGGTCTGTCACTTCGTCTAAGAAAAAATTAATTTGTACTAATGTGAACTAGAAGATCATTACAGAGGGTAGATTTTCCGTTTTTTGAGCCTGTAATTTGAACGAGTCAATTTTTTTTTATATTGTTCTGATAACTATTATGATTGGTCTATCCTCCGTCTCCGGCTTACACTCGTTCAGAAATTGCTAGTTTTTATGATACAGGATGACTTTTATCGAAAAGTTGTATGCCACTGATATTTGCAAAAATAATTCCGTTTCTCAGAGCCATATGGAATCTGCTTAGAAATCGTGTATTTGTTACGTTAGTCACAAAAGCAACCAAGTCACACCGCTATTTTTAAATAACTATAAGGAAAGTCCGAACCTTAAGGGCACCCTGTATAAACTTTTTTCATATTCTTGCGTGCAAAATCTGCCACTAAATTTTCCTGCCAATATTAGTGAACATCTAAAAAAAATTTCTATCACAAAAATATCTCAAACATTCTTGGGATTTTCAAACTAAAAATCGACTCTTGCTTTATTAACAAGTGTAGTCAGCAAGACCAAGTGATTTTTTTTCAAATGATCCGCAAACGAATGTAAAAAGCTCACCCTTGTTAACACCACTGGACCCGGACGACTTAGCCCCAGAAGACGACGACGAACTCTCCTTAGTCCTGGTCTTATTAATCGTAATCTTCATCCCATCCGAGCTAGGCTTGACCATATACTCAGAGTTCTTGACATCTCCCGTTTTCCCGCCACTTTTCGAATCTCCCCCTCCACTTGCAGTCTTAGTTGTCGCTCCTCCTCCACTGGTTCCCCCTCCACTAGTACGATTTGCGCTGTTGCTGCTGCTGCTGGTGCTACCGCCGCTACCGGTACTTCCCCCGCCGGTGCTAGATTTGCTGCTCAAGTCGGTGGCCATGTCACAATGCTGAGCGTTTACCTAGTGAAAAATGGCGCCAAGTAGATTGACTCTATACTTCCTACGCCTCCGTTGGAGGTTTCCAAGAAAAGGGATGAGTCAAATTGTTTCAAAGGGCGAAATCGAATCGCGATTAGGTAGGTTCTCTTAGGTACGATGAATCGTCGACCTCTGTACTATATAAAGCAAATCTATTATATTTCTATTTCATTGCAGACGTAGGCAAAATATGTGACTTATTATGTCTAAAAGCAGGGGCGGCTGACCCTTAAGCTCTGCAGAGCTGCAGAACTGACAAAACTTTTGTCTTAACAGAAAAAAGCAGTAGTAATTTGATCATTATTTATTTTCCATGTTATCACACAAATAGAAACAATACCGGCCTGATCGGTCAGTCTGTGCTCGGTATAAAATTTGCGGAGCACTTGAATTGGCGCTACGGGGATACGACGAAACCGAGAGCTCCCAAAACCCGGAAATATTTCGTGGACTGATTAATTTTTCTGCTGAGCTTGATACAACCTTAAGCTAACACATAAAAAATGCTTCAATATTTAAAGGAACTTCGAAAGAAATACAAAACGATCTACTGGATTGTATTCTTGAAGTTTGTCATGAAGAAATAATAAAACAGATTAACAGAGCTTCGTATTTGGCGATAATAGCAGATGAAATAACGGACATTTCGGGGAAAACCCAACTGGTAACAATTTTCAGATACGAATTTAACGGCGAACCAGTAGAACGTTTGGAATTATATTAATCCCGAAAAATGTGACGCTGATACTCTCACAAGACATATTTTGAGCGTCGTAGATCCATTAATAGGAAATTTCTCTAACAAACTGATTTCACAAAGCTATGATGGAGCCGCGGTAATGAGCGGACATAATGCTGGAGTACAGGCAAAAATTAAACAAAGATCGATTTGCTTACTATGTGCATTTCTATGCGCTTAAGTTAAACCTGATTATGCCTCAAGCTGCTTCCGCTAATCCTCAAGTTCGGGTGTTCTTTGGGATTTGAAAGATATTCCGGGATTTTTTAATAATTCTCCTCAACGCGTAGAGGTACTGAACAGAATTGTGGGGAAAAAATTCCACAAGGAGCAAACACTATTTTAATATTCGAACAATTAATGTAGTGTTTGAGAACAGAGAATCACTCATTGAGTGCATGGAAGAAATAGAAGAAAATTTCTGTCTGTTATTTATGCACGGAATGATTGCCGAGATTTACATGGAACTCTGTCTCTTTGAAATTTTTGATACAAAATAGTTTTGAGAAAACACTAAAAGAAACATAAATATCCGAGCGGTACTTCTCAATTTATAGGCGGTTATAAAATTAGTATACAGACCGACAGACAGACAGACCGACGGAAATGAGTGACATGGCTTTTCACGATGTACAGGTCATATAAGATCCAAAAGACATGTCTCAATTTCGAAATTTTTCGCGATTACAATACTTCCACGCCAATTTTTGCTTAAGAAGTAAAATGGAGTAATTTGGCATCAAGAGCACGAAAGCTCACTTTTTGCTCGATATATACTTCGAATTACCTTTAACTTATCAACGATCGCCGACAAAGATCCCTTGCGATTCCTGGCTTGATTCGCACTCGATTTGGCATCAGCGCTGTTCCCGCCACTGCTCGGCGACGGCAGACTGTCGGGCGTGCCACTAGATGGCGCTTCTGCACCGCCTCCGCTGCCAGAGCTGCCTCCTTCCAATGGTTTGACTGATGTGATAACAACTAGTTAATTATAAGGAGATTAAAAATATTAGAAGTGGGATAGGAACTACTGAAGGGTGTCCCAATAGGTACTTCAAGATTTTGTTTCTAGACGGAACCGACAATTTTTGGATAAATATCATGCTTGACTATACAGGGTGTTTCAGTTTATTGTTGCATAACTTTAAGATTCGATAGAACTTTTAAAATTAATGCATAAAGTCTATATAAACATGAGTCGAAAAATGCGTGGCTTCCGAAATACAGGGTGTTTAAATTTACTTTCTAAACTAGTTTTTTTTAAATATTTCGAACAATATTTGATGTATAACAGTGAAAATTGGTATACAAGGGTTTTTTGGTACGACAAAACGAACCATGGGCATAGTTTTACTGTAGCCGCTAGAGGGCGCTCTCTACTGTACCTGTAGTGTATTAAAATGACCGAAAAATTTTTCTTAGTGCAATTTTTTGCATTTTGAACAAAAAACTGATTCCTCGCACTTTTCAACATAAAAAAAGCTCTCTTGTGAATTTTCGTTATAGTTAGCCGTTTTTGAGATATTTCGATTTTTAAGGTTCGATGCATTTTTAATTATTTATGATCAAATAACGTTAAAAAGTCAGCATCTCGATAATTTTTAGAAGTAGGCTGTGCCTGCAAATATTTTTGAAATTGAAAGCAGAATAAGGTTAAACGTCAATTAGTTGACGGTTAGTTTTGTTGTATGTTGAAACCTGAAACGTTTTTTTTGCAATTGTGAATGCACGAAATTTAGTTTCTTTTACCTGTTTTTTTGTAAGTTTTATAAAAAATGCCATTTTTATTCTCCAATCAAGAGTTAGCGGATATTCATTTTGTGTATGGCTTTGTAAATGGAAATGCAGCAGAAGCAGCCAGAGAATACGCACGAAGATTTCCAAACAGACGTTATCCAACTCGCTCAGTATTTGTAAGAGTGCATCGCCAAAGAATTGAAAATGGTTTTGGAAATCTCCAAAGGGATTAAAACATAAATGTTCGTCAGCGCAGATTTACCCGTATGATTCTGCGTGAGTTTGATAGAGATCCGACCACAAGTGTTAGGAGAGTTCCTGGTGCCTTAGGAATTTCAGCAGCCATGTTCACCGTGTTCTAGAAATGACATAGACGTCCTTACATTTGCAACCTGTGCAAGAACTACAGCCAGGGGACGGAGAACGAAGAATAACATTTTGTCACTGGATTCTTGATAAGAACTGATAATAATAGGGAGTTTTTAGGCAATGTTTAGTGTGAACGTGTGGATTGGTATCTACCGTAATCGCTATTTGGACCCTGCCTTTTGCCTGCAAGGTTAATGCTGCGACCTTCTTGGAATTTAAAAGGCTGAACATGCAAATAGTGGGATGATGTTACTATATGTAGATTTAAGAAGATTGGCCTGGTTCCAGCTTGATGGTTGTCCAGCTCATTATTCGAGAATAGTTAGAAACTGGCTGGACGAAAATTATCCAGTTAAGATGGATCGGCCGTGGAGGACCAGGCGACTGGCCTCCACGATCCCCTGACCTAAATCCATTAGATTTCTTGTGTGGGGATTTCTGAAAGAAAAAGTGTACCAGACTCCTGTAACCACAAGAGATATGCTAATAGACAGAATCAGGAAGGCATGTGATGAAATAAAGGCCTTATTTGAATAATGCTATACCACGTTCGATCATTCGTAGAGTGAATTGTGTATTGAACAATTGGGTTTACATTCGAGCAACTACTTAGATTTGTATGTATGTCCTAACTATCCAATAGCATTATAGTTGTAAATAAGTAATTTAATTTGTTAAAAATAATATTGGAAAATTAAACAAATTAATATTCTGTTTTTAGTGTTTATTTGGAGTTAGGAATTATTGCTGGGTTTAAAAACACAATCTAAACGATCATCTTAATTACTTGTAATGCCCAAATCGAAAATGTAAAAAAACATTATTTTCCCATAAATAATTAAAAATGCATCGATCCTTAAAAATCGAAATATCTCAAAAACGGCTAACTATAACGAAAACTCACAGGAGAGCTTTTTTATCAGTTTTTTTATTCAAAAAGCAAAAAATTGCACTAAGAAAAAATTTTCGGTCATTTTAATACACTACAGGTACAGTAGAGAGCGCCCTCTAGCGGCTATAGTAAAACTATGCCCATGGTTCGTTTTGTCGTACCAAAAAACCCTTGTATACCAATTTTCACTGTTATACATCAAATATTGTTCGAAATATTAAAAAAAAAAACTATTTTAGAAAGTAAATTTCGGAAGCCACGCATTTTTCGACCCATGTTTATATAGACTTTATGCATTAATTTTAAAGGTCTATCGAATGCAACAATAAACTGAACACCCTGTATTATCAAATGTAGAAGTATGGGAGTTGTTAATCCTCCATGTTTGTCTGACCGCTAAGTAATAGTAATATTTATTGGAACATTTATACAAGATAAAGATGAATATTAAAAATTAAACATAACTCCAAAAGGCTAGGGATTGCCGCCGCCATTTTTCACCGTCGCCTACAGCGCAATTACGAATAGAATCAAGAAGTTGAAATTATCTTATATAGAGTCATGAGCATCATCTAATTTTACATAAAGTATAGCAATGTTATGAAATTCAGGTACCAATTCACAGCATATAGTAAATCGCTAGATAATAATCTGTAGCTTCAGATGCTTGTAACTCGAGAAGCACCTATTAAATTCCTTTAGTTCAGACGAGAAGTTAGTTGGAAGAGTTCAAAATATTTCATCTTAAAACAAGGTGGTCAATTTTAGTAACCATGTATAGAGGTATTATGTTTAAAAAAAAAATGGGTCAACCTGGACGTGAGCCCAGACATCATTATAATACGTTTTTGGGCTGCTGAAATATCGATATTGTAATACCATTAATGTATTCATTAAAATTTGAATTTATTATTAATTCATGTAGGTAATATTAGAATTCTAAACTATTTTTGTTGTTGTAAAGTGACTTTTCTTAAGTTCAATTTATGATATTTGCGTTGACTGATGAGGATTAGTTGATCTTAAGCTTCTTTCTTTTTATGAATTTTCTGATGAGTTATTTCAGTGACTTGTTTTACAGCAATTTATAATTTGATTTAAATCACGATTAAAATTGAAAAAATCAAATGATTTAAATCGTCGCAACCGTGTTAAAAACCCCCCACCTTTGAGTGAAGCGCTCTTATTCTTGGAGTTGCTAACGCCGAACACACTGGATGCTTTCTTGTCCTTATCCCTACTGCCACTGCTGCTCCCGCTACTCCCACCACCACTGCCTTCCTTCGACCCTGATTTTGCTGCTCTTGGATTCCCCGCCGCTGCCGGACGATTTGCCAGACGATGGCGAATTCGCGGCACTTTTCAAGGTCGACATGCTGGGTTTCCCAGACCCGCTCGCAGACGGGTGCTTTGGCGATGCTCCTGATGTTTGGGGCTGAAAATGGAGACATTTTAAAAAATATGCATGGCGTTACCAAAACTAACCTTTAACTATACCGGGTGATAACGAAAATTGGAAACATGCTGTATTTTTTTTTGGCAAATAAAGGTATCCCTACAACATTGGGACATCTTTAGTCATCAAGAGGCATTTCTGGAAAGTTGAATTGGTTTATCTCTCCTTTCCGGTTTAAATGGAAGTGATCTTGGGTAACAATATGCCACAAGTGACATTTTAGTTTGTGATCAACAAATTTCTATTAAAACGGGCTTAATAAATGAAAGCTTGTAATTATGTGATTCTCATGTTTGTATACTTATTTAAAAAAAAAATAATAGGAATCCACATCTTCAATACAGGATTTTTGATAGATTTTAAATAGCATCCTGTATAAGTTGGGCAAAATAGGGTAGAAGTGGATAATATTAATAAATTCAGTTTGTAATGGGTGATTTTTTTGCTAGTATCTTTTTGGCTACACTGTTTTTGACAAATGACGCTTGAATCGTGTCTTGTGTCATTGTCAAACTTGTTCAGTTTGGTCTATAATTTAACCATGAATCGACCTTACGAACGAACAACGCTTGCAAATTATTGAATTTTACTATCAAAGTTCATGCTGGGTTAAGCGAGTGCATCGAGCACTGCTTCCAATTTATGGGCAATTTGGTCGGCCTACTGAGGGAGCTATTCGGAAGCTTGTGACTAAATTCGAACCCACTTTACATTATTGGACATTAAACCACCAACACGCAGACGTAGGACTGAAGAAAATATTGCGGCTGTATCCGCCAGTGTTAGTGATGACCGTGAAATGTCGATTCGCCACCGTTCGCAGCAATTGGGCCTCTGTTACTCTCCACTACGTGGAAAATTTTGCGACAGGATTTTGGGTGTAAAAACCTTATAAGATACAGCTGGTGCAAGAATTGAAGCCACACGACCTCCCACAACGTTTCCAATTTGGTGAATGGGCGCTGGCAAAGTTGGAGGAAGATCCACATTTTTATCGAAAAATTGTGTTCAGCGATGAAGCTCATTTCTGGTTCACTGGGTACGTTAACAAGCAAAATTGCCGCATCTGGAGTGAAGACCAGCCAGAAGCATTGCAAGAGCTACCAATGCATCCCGAAAAAAATTATTTCTAATTTATAATAACAGACTATAAAAACAACTCCCTTTGATTACTAACTATATGGGTAAAATTATTTTCATGCTTCTCACCTGGAAATCCCGCCAGGCTGTGCTTAGGCTGCTAGGCACATGCGCAGGCGAATGTTTGGGACTCTGATGCGACGACGAAGACCCACTTTTCGAGCCGGATTTCATCAGGCTGGGACTCAACTTTCCGCTGACGGAGGACACTGAACGATTCGAAGTGGGAGAAACTGTTGAATTTGCGCATCATGCTGGGGACGTTGGAGTAGAAGTCCCACCTATAGGAGGTGATTCTGATGCGGCCTTTACGCTGATCGTTGATGGTTTGCTTAACGGGTCCTTGTGAGGGACTTTCTCTGGGGGGCCCATAGGGCTCTCCTCGCGTTTCCGCTTGCGCTTCTTTTCTAGCCTGAAATAAAGTCGAGTAGAATATCTCAAATAACGTGTTGGAAAATTATTAAATTTAGAGTTTACCAGTAAATAGAGTGTAAATAGTTCTAAATGTATCAACAGTACCGACTCAAAACAAAGATGTCACTGACTATTTTATTTATATCCTAGCGTTCGGGACATTTCATCACGCTTTGAAGTCTGTTGAGGTAAATAGCTGGTCAGTCTAAGTCAATCAGTACTCACTTATTCTTATCCTCCTTGCTACTCTTGCTGCTCTTCTTCTCCTTAGACTTCTCTTCGGAAGATGAAGACGTTGACTTCGCTTGCGTAGTAGTAATGGCAGTGATCGTAACCGAACTGGGAACTGCAGGCGCAGCGTCTCGTTTATCCTTGGTGGTACTTACGCTAAAGGTGCTTGAACCACCTGCAGACGGATTGGACGACGAGATCGGAGTGATGCTTACGGTGGACGGTGCCACCAGCGGAGATGATTTCTCGGAGAGGTCCACACTGGGCGAACGGCTTTGGGATTTGCGCTGTTTCTCAGTGAGATCGCCTGAGAAAAGACCTTTCAAGGGAATAAGAGTCAGTTAAGTGTTCAGTGGTACTTGAATGTTAAGGAGCTATGTGCGTTGTGATAGCCACTGGTGACGAACACGCGCCACATTCAATGGACAATATGCATGGGCTTCTTGGCATGGGGCTTTGACTTCAAATAAAACCCATTAACAAATCGATGGTGTTAAATGACATTGTCTAGAGCAGAACTGTCCAACTTAGTGTGGCCCAAGGGCCACTTAAAAAAAATGCAGTTTGGAGGGCCGCATTATAAAATCTTTCTATACAACATTATACTGAGTTAATGTAAGAATTGTGCATATTAGGTATTTGAGAGTAATTTATACATGTGATGTATACATGACCCGTGAAGCGGGTCGCAAGAAAGGAGTTCGCGGGCCGCGGGCCGTATGTTGGACAGCCCTGGTCTAGAGCACCAATTCTGGTCACCAAACCAAGTACACCATCAGGAAATGCCTTATGCAGTAATAAGCTACTTCTAACAGCTAATTTCATAGAATAGATTATTATTTCTTATAATATTACACTTAGGAAACGAAATATATCGATTTCAATTTTTAAAAGCGCACGATGGATATGTAAGTCCAATTTAAAAAAATATTTTGTATATTTAATATGAAATTATGTGACGTCATAGAAATTGTAAATAAAGCAACGCCATCCGTATGTCACTTGAGAACTAACGTTGTTTTCCTTGGATATTTCCAAGAAACTAATCAACGCATAAAGTTATAGATTTCTCGTTATAATGAAAAAAAAAACGATCATGGACGTAGGATTCGTAAAAGCAGATAGCACAAATTTGCCGAAAATTGACACACTGAGTTGGTAATGTTGTGCCTTCAACCCAAACTTCTGCTCTGCTAAGCTGGGGAGCATCAACACTTCTATGTGAGTACAGTGCTTCTGATATAATTATAAACATAAAAGTAAGAATAAGTAATACACTTACATAATTTTACACGACATGACAGAAGTCATTCAAAAATAACCTCATAACCTCCGAATAATTTTATCTAATATTGTAATATGTCTTCTTACACATCTGCAAGGGAATAATACGGTGATGATGCCTTTGGATACGTCCAAACTTAAATGAGACGAACAAATCTGCACAGTAAGATGTAAAATATGTCGCGAACATAAGGTATGCTCCAAGCAATTGCGAATATTGATTTTCCTAGGCACTCTAATCCTCAGCTTTCCTGGCTTTTTATCGACGTGTTTTTGCTTTCTCGGATGATTCAATAATGATAATTACTATATTTTTGCTATAAATTAGCAGAAGTCATGTTTATATGTTTAAAAGCTTATGCTGCTGTGAGTTGCTGTTTACACATTATACGACGTCACAGCACATTCAACACGACGGACAGCGTTTTTGCCAGTCTAAGAAAAAATATATTTTCAAATTAAAGTTTCACGATCTTTTAGATCTGAAAAAACATAGTATTAATTTTTTTGGTCTATTAGAACAAATATTAACTATTTTGGACTTACTTAGTAAAATGTCAAATAGCCCATTATATTGTTTCACGGGATGTATGGCATGTGCTGCCATCTTGTTGAAACCACACGTTATCTATCTTAGGCAGAAAGCAGCCCACAGACACTCACAGATTAATGCAAAATGGTTATGGAAAACTTCAACAAAACCAAGGTCATTTGAATTATGCGCGATAGTGCCATGCTAAACCCTACCCTCTATATTTTAAATTCAATTTAATTTAAAACTTGCGTGAAATTTGTCATTTCTTTCCTGTGAATGAAAAGTGACAAAACTTATCCATAAAGTTCAAACATTAAATTTCATGCGCAAGATGTGACGGTACTCTAGTGTTATTTAATACATGTTCCACGCCCGCTCATTAGAATATGACACTACTTCTGCCATAGAGGTAAGACCTTCATCAGATGTAGCTCTAGTGTTGACAGCTTGACATGGCAGAGTTATGGCCACATTCTATCGGTCTTCGGAACAAAGCTCAAATATTGTCAGGTAACACAGAAGAAAAGAAAACAAAGAAAACTCTAATACGTTTCATCCAAGAGCACGAACGAAAAACTAGAACAAACCTTGAAAAATGGATATAATCAATCTATTCTGGTTATTAAAAATATCTCACTAGACTGTACGACTTTTTTTGTAAAATGGATAATTGAGGGGTTTGGAAGTAGAAAAACGTTCAAGTGCACTTTTTTAATTAAATGGTCTAAGTGCAGAATATCATACCTAAAGCATATCCTAACTTGGTGGTAGAATGATTGAAATGCAGGCAACGTTCCCTGGCGCCGTCTCTCATAGTCTTTGAGAACATATCAAAATATCCACTAATACAGTATGTGGTAAAATGATTCAAGTGCACTTGAACCATTTTACTTCTAAGGTTTTGCAACTATTTTTAATGTTTTACGTGTGACGTGATTTCACGTTTTACTTATTCTTAGTTAAAAATACGCATTTTGCAGTGTTGGTAGTGTTATAAAAATAAACAAAATGAGTACTGATTGGGAACGCAAGGTATCTCTCAGGAGAATTAAGTATCAATAAGATGTACAAATTATATCAGGAGTTTGTACAATAATTACCAGTAAAAGAGTCCTCTTACAGGCATATTTTCAATATGGAATTCAATTTAAAATTCCACAAGCCCTATAGTGATACCTGCAGTCGTTGTGACAATTTACAAATTTAATAAAATATTCTACAAATGAAGACGTGATTAAAAATGCCAAGCAAGACCTCGAGCTGCACCAAAGAAAGGCCCAGAAAGCAACAGATACCAAAAAAGCTGATATTGCTGAAAATAAAAATGATTCTAAAAATACGGCTGTAATTTGTTTTGATTTGCAACAGGCATTGCCGACTCCATTGTTAACCACCTCTAAAGTATTTTATCTTCGTCAATTATGGACGTATAATTTCTGTGTTGTTGACTTACTGGCTGGAAACAGTTATATGTATGTATGGAACGAAACTATTGCATCCAGGGGCTCACAGGAGATAGGATCATGTTTAATAAAATTTGTGCTAAGCCTTCCATCTGCAGGTACGAAGATTATTGTATACCGTGATACGTGTGGAGGACAAAATAAGAATAAAAACATTGCCAAGCTACAGATATATCTGAGATTCATCACAAGTCCTTGAACC